AGTTTTTTTCAATGTGCTGGTGGTTTTTTTAGGAACTCTGTAGCTGGTATTTGTAGACTTTATAAATGATCCTAATATGCAATATATTTATGCCAAAACAATATTATTTAACATTGCATATTGTTTAAAAAGTGGAGTTGCTTTGTTACAAAAATAGCAGCGCAAACTGTGCAGGTATTTTGAGTTCTCCATAATAAGAAGTGATATAGTGTGTGAATTAAAACTCTGAAAGGCAAATTAAAAGCATATGCTGCCAAACTACAGCTGTGGGTGGCTTTGAGGCAAGTGCAAGTTGTTGTTAAAGGTTGGATTCAAATAGGGGCATGAGGAGAAAATTAGTATTTATGGAAAGACTGTTCATATAATTGTCCTATAGCTCAAGTATGTGATGAAATAATTAAAAGCGGATAGCTTGGTTGGAGTGGGTGTACACAACCACACACACACATACATTCACAGTTTATTCAGAACTGCTACAACAGCTGCATTCTTTTCACTCCTTCATTGTCTTCTATTTCGGTCCTTCCAGCCAGAACAAGAGATGACTGGCAAGTATTGGATGCTGTAGAGCAGAGGCACTGAACCTCTTTCTACCCAAGAGCTGAATACCATTTCAGAGAAGCTCTTCTAGGGGTGGGTGGAGCCAAAGAAAAAAAGGGGGTGGGGCTAGAAATTAGCACATCACGGCTAAATTTGTAATGGTCAAGGTGTCGTTTCTTCTGTATATTATGCACCATTTTCCTCTCATTTAGCTTGCTACCTGACATTGATAAATGACAGATCATATCTCCCATGAAGAAATATTCTTGGTGATGTGGCACAGAAAAAAATACTGTGGGCCCTGACTGGGAAAGGTTGGGAGCTGTGGGACTTTTTTCAATCAAAGCATGCATAGGATCATGCATTGTAAGCACCTGGGTGGCTGGACAAAAGTTGGAGTGATGTCCTTGAGCTCAAATACTGGGGATGGAGTAAAGGCAGAGCTTGAGCTAGAGCTTGAGCTGGCAGTACATATGGAATGCAACAGGTCCTGCATGACTAGCCTGACGAGGATAGGGCACCAGGTTCCTAATAGATGTATCAGGCCTGGTCAAGCAGGGTTCTCCCCTCTCTAGGCCATGATGATTTCCCCCCAGCACGACTTGTTTTGCTATCTGTTCTGTATGCATAAAATGGTCAAATTATAGCTTTAAGAATGCCTTTTGCAGTTGACTGACTGCTCCATCCTGTTAAAAAATGAATTTAACATTAATTACCTTCCAGTTTCCCAGAAGGGCAGCTTATTTTAATTAATATGTTTCCCAATGTTTGTTGTTTTTAGATCAACAATGCCACATTTGGTTCTGTCAATGTGACCAGAGTAAGCTCCTTTTCCCATTTTATTTGATTTATTACTTCACATATCTTCTTTGAAAAAGTGGTTATTTCTTTAATATTATCTCAGGTGGAAAATGATGCAAATAATTAATATTTTGCTCAGTTTTAGCTTGTTTGTTTGGCTGTCTTAGTGCATAGAATAAAAGTGTTTATGACTAAACCAACTGTATTCTAGTCTGTTATTTGTGCAATTTCCATTAGTCTCTCTTAATATCTCTGCCTTCCTTTCATACTCTTGTAATCTAACAGGAGAGTCAGTGGTTAAGAATGTAGGGCTGGGACTCAGACGATCTGGGTTCTAGTCTCCGCTCAGACATGGTGCCAACTGGGTGACTTTGGGACACAGACTCTTTGCTCAACCTACTTCACAGGGTTGTTGCGAGGATAAAATTGAGAGGAAGAGAGCCTTGTGAGCTGCCTTGAGTTCCTTGCAAGAAGAAAGGCAGAATATAAACAAAAAGACTTCTGCTTTGGATATATGTAGGTATCAACCCAGCAGTTTGACCCTTCAATTCTCTTCTCTTTGCTCCGCTCCTCTTCTCTTCTCTGCATTTAAGCAAGGTTTTTTTAAATTTTTACTTTAAAAAGATACCTTTCTATCTTTTATGGCTTTGCTGACTTGGCATTAATCATATTGGAATGCTCTGGATATGTACCCTAGTGAATCTATGAATCCAAGGGAAGAATTCCCACTGATCGGTAAAATCCTTGTTCTATATTACAGCTTTTATCAAGTATATAGTACAATCTTTTTTCAAGTTGATAAAATGAATGCAAAAGTACCACTTGCCTCAGTTGCTCCCAACGTGTAATGACTATACATGCATCTATGTGCACTTGTGGATTACCAAATGCAAAGTAGCATCCTTTTTGAGAGTTCCATCCATATCTAGATTCATGGGAGGTTTAAACTGAATCACTAAACATTGTTGTGATGCTGATGCTGGGTCTTGGCCCTCACAGGGGAAAAAAGATGTTTTGGAGAACATAAGCTGCCTAATATACTGTGGGATTAGTATGACCATTTGGCATCTTGTTGCCATTCTTTGCTTTATCAAATAGGAAGCCCACTGAAATAGGCAAATATCTACAAATAGTTAATTATTTTACTCAGAGGTATAAGCATAATCAAGTCTGATGGTTGTGCCATTCATATATGTATAAAACAGATGCCTAGACCCATTTTTGTCAAATTATATTTTGTCAAATATAAAATTCAGAGAAAAAATGGAGCATCTGCCTTTTGATTATCTTCAATATAATTGCTTACAGTGCAGGTCTTGCCATATCTACCCAGAAATAAGCCCCACTGAGTTCAATGACTAAGCCCTGGCAAGTTCGATGGAGCTTACTTTCAGGAAAGTGTGTATGTGATTGTGAAGCTAATCTACTTCTACTGCATTTTATGGCTATTCCCTAGACATTTTTGTCACTTCTCTAACATCCTTAGATAAAGGGAATTTTTGCTCAAGGGTGAGAGTGGGATACATTTTCTGAGCTGGCAGAGTTGGCAGAGTGCTCAGGAATGAATATTATCTAATGTGGGAGTTTTGTGAAATAGTGTATTATCTTAATTGCGTGTCTTTGTGATGCCTGCTCTGTAATTGATATCATAAAATAAAAACGTTGCATGGCTTGCCAGAGTACCTTTGAAAAAGAAAACTTTGCTAATGGAGTTTCTTCCTTTCTAAATAAATAAAGAGCAGAGGAACAATTGCCAGTTCACTGTCTGATCTCTAGAACTTCCTGTTAAGCCCAAAATATAGTGTAAGAAACATGCTTGGGCTGCTGTTTTAGAGACTTGATGATGTGATAGGAAGGATATATGTAACATCAAAGAATGATCTTCATATACTTCTGAAGCATGACTTCTGCAAGACCAAGTGAAATAATGGGTGCTCATTTTTCTTTTGAATGTGGCAAATTTAATAGCCTTGGATTGTTTTTCATTAGTGGTGTTCCAAAACTTTCCTTCATCGTGCTTGTGGTATATATAATGCATGTACATGTGCCTTTTTCATTATCCAGATTTTTCTTTCGTTTCTCAAAGTCTAGGCTCCTGTGTGATTCCCTGCTGGGTTTATTTCAGACCAATGCTTAATAGTTTGGAATCTGATCAAACTTACTAGCAAGGCTTTTGCACTAAACAAAAATGTTCCTGTTCTTTAGCATTGTGCTAAATGGGATACTTGTTTTATGCCTGAAATACAGCTTAGGAATGTACGAGAAATTTGTTTTGGTTCATTTACGATCAGAATATAGCTTTTTTGCATTTCTCGAATGTGAGCACACTCTGCAGTCAATGGTCATACAAAGAGCTAAAAAGCTCCAAACCTCCCCCCTCACCCCCATGTGTGTGTGTTCCATTGTTGTTTTCTTTTTTACGAGTTGTTGAACAGCCATGGCTTTAATCTTTAGGTAAAGGCCTTTCCATAAAATATGTGAAATATTTATTTCTGGAGCAGCAGTTGGGCAGAATTTGGGTCAATATGTATGCATTTCAACAGACAGAGAACAGCTAGTTATCTTTTTAAAAAGGCTCCCGCAGCCACATGTGTGTTGATGCTAAATTTCAGGCAGTACATTTCAGAAAATATGTCATTTTCCTACATCTGCTCACCATTGTTTTGGGTTTCTGCTTCAGGTATGAAAATATTGAAAAGGAAAGTTGTGTCAGAGCAAACAAGTAATGGCATGGCTTTAAAGCAGAGTACAGAGTACTATTCTGATGAAAGTGAAAGAAGAAAGTGCAAAAGTAGGACTTCTGCTGTATATCATGACTATGGGAGAATTATAGATCTTTACTGTTAACAATGAAGGAATTGAAATTGTGAAATATTTTGCATACCTTGGGTGGTCTTCAGTTCAAATGGAAATTGCAGCCAAGAAGTTTGAAGATTGAGGTTTAGAGGGGCAGCAATGAAGGAACTAGAAAAGATCACCAAGTGTAAAAAAGTATCATGAGAGACCAAGGCCACACTATTGTATTCTTTGCCACCATTTATGGCTATGAAAGCTAGGCAGTGAAGAAAGCTGATGGAGAAAATTGGTGTGTTGAAACATGGTGCTTAAGGAGAGCTTTGTGAATACCCTGAACTGTCAGAAAGATGAACAAGAGGGTCCTGGAACAAATCAAGCCAGAACTTTCTTTGGAAGCAAAAAATGACAAAACTGAGGCTGTCATACTTTAGGTACATCAGGAGAAGGCAAAACTCCTGGAGAAGACAGTCATGCTTCAGAAGTTGAAGGGAGAAGAAAAGGAAGACCAAATAGGAGAATATAGATAACTCTATAAAGGAAGCCACAGCCTCAAGTTTACAAGAATTGACAGCTTCTGAAAATCAGTTGTGATGATAGAGGGGACCCAGGCTGAACCAGCTGTGAAGGGGGTGGGGCAGGGCTCAGTGCTCAGAGTTCCAGTTCCGAGATCACATGATCTCAAAGCAGGGACTCCAAATAATGGTATGGCTTTCCAAATCGCACCCCTATAGTCTTTGTTCTTTTAGTGCAATATTTAACTATTTTAAATTGTTGTACATTGCCTTGATGGCTTTTAGGAGATAAGATGGTCTATACATGTAAAAGAATAAATTCTATTCATTTGTATTTCTCCATGAAACTAGGCTTGAGCTGTGTGTGCTACTGGAAAATGAAACCATCTTTGAAACTGAGGATGTGGAAGACTCTGAATCCTGCCCATCTCTTCTGTCCTACCAGAAGGTACAAGATTCCCTTTTATTTATCTATCTGACTTATTAATCCTTGTACAGGAGCAGTTCAGAAGGGTGACCATGCTCCAGGTTTGAAGTAGATGGCAGATAATGCTACATACATTTATATAATCACTTATTTCACCTTAAACTGATTAGTGGTTGCAACTACATGTTAAACTTTGTTAAGCAAGCTTTCCCCACAGAGGTGCCTGCCAGATTTTTTGGACTACAACTTGACTATTGGATATGCAAGCTAACCCCAGTTGGCATTGACTCACCTTTTTAGAAAAGAATGCTCCTGGTCTACTTTCTACAGCACTCAATAGCATTCTCTGCCTATATTTTTATTGCTTGAAATTGCTTTTCACTGAACAGAGTGTATTATCTTCTTCAGTGTTAGGATTTTTATTTTTATTTTAAAGAGCAAAGAGTTTTCCACAACTGCAAGAAAGCTTTCTCCCTTGAAACAAGGTGTTTCCCTGCCTTCATTCTATTTGTACAGTTATTCATCTACCAGAGGAATTGCTCTGAAAAGACAGATCTGCACACAGGTTTATTTTCTGATTGACAGTGGGACTTGCTTGCCGAGGCTTAAATGAGAACCTCAGCAGACCTTCTGCAAGGAAGGGATCTCAATTCTGTGTCCCTTAGTTTGAAAACACACATACAATCCCACTATCTTGTCCTTTTAGGACTTTCCTTACAAACTCTGCTTGTGGCAGAACGGGTTGGAAAGAGGAGGGATAGTGGTGAGCAGCAATCAAGTTGATTTCCTCATTGTGTTACAGAACTGAACAGAGGGGAACCCATATAAGGCTGCTTCACAGCCTAGTTCCCAGTTCCATGTACAATATGCCTTTATATTCACAACCCCTATTCTGACTGTCAAAGGAATGTGCATATGTTGAAGCAGGGCCTGCCATCATGAGCCTGCTGCCCATGCCCTGCATACTCTCGCTGAGCTTGGATCACTTGTTTTAACTGGTCTTATGAGACACAGTAACTTGTCCAAAGCCATTTAACAAGTGCCTAATAGGGAGACATCCGCAGTGGATTCAAACCTGAATTCTTTGCTGATGGTTTTTGTAGGGCTGGGTAAATGAATTGTGATTTGCTTTTCTTTGCTATTTTTATATGGTTGTTGTATGTTGATGCATGAAGATGAATTGTTCTTAAATACTGAGTGAATATACGGAAAGCATTGATTTTGATCATTTATTTATTTATGAACTGTACTTGTTAAGAAATATTGTTTATATCTGTTGTGAATCCACACAGAATGCAGTAATAGCAGAAAGGAATATATAAATAAACCTTGACATGACTTGAATTTCCCAGATAATATCTTGATCTCCTGGTTTCCTGCGGGTTTATTAATCTGAAGCAACACAGATTCAAATCAATCCTGCCCTTTTGAAAATACAAACCATCAGTTAGCAGCACACACTGCACCCTCAACAAAAGAACCAAGCAGAGAAGAAGGATTTTCAGAGACAAGAGGAGACACCAAATCTTTCTCTAACAGCCTTCAGCAGCCTGGTGCTCACCAGATGCTTTGAACTTCAACTTCCATCAGCCCCAGCCAGTATGGCCCATGATCAGGAATACTGGAAGTTTTAGTTCAAAAATCTAGAGGGCACCAGGTTGTAGAAGGCAATGCTATCATTTAGGGCTCCTCCACCTCCTGCTGCTGCTGCTCCTCCTTCTGGACTTCATGCCCCTGGCTAAGAAATCCACATCTCCTGTCCATGTATATTTCACTGTTGAAAACTCAACCCAGTTGAATCCTGCTAGGAAATTGCAGTGTCGGTATGTGACACAAAGTAATAGTGATATTGTCTGTTCTAGATCAGAGTTGAAAAATTGCCTGATCAGCAGAGAATGGCTGCTATATTAGGTTGCTACAGTACAGATCCTCGATATCAGCAACTGTTCATCAATCTGGTAAGAATGAAGCCAACTCTAAAAACAAACATTTCCTCCATGAACAGCATGTTTGTTATATTTTCTTTTCTGTTTATGATGTCTCTGTCAACTACATTGATTTACATAAACACTGCCAATCCTGGGATGCTACACTCTCAACAAAAGTAGCTGAGTACAAACAGCATTCCTGAGTTTTAATTCAGATTATATAAACATACCAGATGTTGATACAATGAGCCAACAAGAAAATACAACAAAAACACCATTTGAAAGGGGTTTGCGATTAAAACACATTCCAGATTGGCAAAAAAGAAACAGTGTTAATGGAACAGATCATTTAAATGTCAGTATCTGATTCCTTCAGAACTGCAAAGACATAATGCATAGCATTGCTTTTGATGGTCTTCCTGTCTTTAACTATGTCTATAACAACGAGCAGTAGAAATCCCATGCCCATTTTCCTTGAGATATTTTGACATTAATATGTTAATGGCTGCACTGGAAAGTTAAAGCCAAAACCAGCTCCATTCTGTTGAGACTCTCATTAACTGTGCAAAAGAATTTATATTAAGGACCAACACTACCTGTCATGATTGACAACATTTCATTTAACAGTAGTCATAAGACACTCAAAGACACCCTATGCCTTTCTACAAACACGGGCTTTTGACATGGCTCATATTCATTAACCCAAAGAAGGTGCTTTTGGAGAATCTTGGACATAATGAAGTGACACAGGATAATTGACAGGTGGTAGATCCAAATGATTATGGGCCTTCTGAGATCTTAGTTTATATTTGAAAGCCATTGGGAAGCAATAGTGACTGATCAAGTAGTGCTATATCATGCTTTCAGTGAAGCAGTCCATCAGGTGTCAGCCAGCACATTTTACACCAGCACACATCGGGGGTAATTTGCTATTTCCATGTAGAATCCCTGAATATACTTATGGAGCTAAACTGTAGTTACCTTGCTCTGTGATCTGTGTACATTCCTGAAATAACCTTATCTGCTGTGGAAAATGTGTTTTACAAAGGAAAAAGGACCTACTTTAGGGTACAGTCCTATGGTCTTCCAAGACAGGGAGACCATAGGATTGCATTCTTGGACCTGCAATCCCAGATCCAGGTCCCATCCCTCTTGCAGTCACTTTGGAAAGAACTGTACCAGCTGCCCCTGGTAGGGGCACAACTGGCCCTGGAAAGAAGCAAAAAGGTGTGTGCTGGGGTGCAGGAAGGTGGAGGCTTGGGCTGAGCACTTATACAGATTCCTAGTCATGCTTCCACTGCCTTTCCTCCCATCTTGGCGGCTGTGAATGCTTCTCTAGGTAGAACGCATGATGTGAGGCACAGCAGCAGTGGAGAGGGCCACTGTACCTCCTTCCATGCATAGGCAGCACGGAAGGCTCTGAACTCAGGGCAGGGCATGGGGCACTGGAATGTGCCATTAAAGTGCAAGCGAGATAAAAAACGCACTCTGCCATCCCTAGGTTTCATTCTGGAAAACAGAGAGTGGTGTGTCTACATTCTTTTCTTCTAATGTATTCCTTTATTTTATCTTGCAGGAGCCATATATCAACAAATCAGCAATGTCAATTCAGGCTCACTTCTCCCTGCAGCGCACATATACCATCTTCCGGTCTCTGGGTCTTCGGCACCTGACGGTTGTTGATTTACAGAACCAGGTTGTTGGACTAATCACCAGGAAAGATCTGATATCTTTCCAGCTGGAGGAGAAGCTGGGGCTCCAAGAGGCATCACAGCAGCCTCACTCCGATGATGAGCTTTTAGACTAGGAAGCAATCTGCATGGGGAATGAGGACGTGTCTCAAGGTTTCGTTTTACTTTTTAGGAAGGTAATCTTACACTATCCATAATGACAGAGAAAAATAGATGTTCATCTTTGAAGGGTTTCCCCATTCCCCAGAATGTAATTCGTGTAGCTCAAATCATCATTATCATGAAACATAGGCAATGCTACTTTCTCATAATTACCATATCACAACAATCTCTCACTATCAAGGCTTAGAGTTCATATAATTGCTGCTGCTGCTGCTGCTGCTATCACTATTATTGTTTTTATCCCTGTCCTGCCCAATAATCACAGTTCTCTGGGCTGCTCATAATTCATAGAAACACAAACACAATAAAAAAAAACTTTCAATGAACAAAATTTAAAGCAGAATTTAAATCCATTTGACCAATTTTCAGTACAACTAGACTGACATCCCCCCTCTCTGCCATATATGCTTTTAAATGCCATTGAATGTCGGAGAGAAGAGTCTAGTCTTAACCTGGTGCTGAAAGAGTTTGGCATTAGGCAGGCTTTAGTGGGGTGATCTTTGTATAATTATGAGGCCTCCCTCAGAAGAGGTAGTTGAAGGAAGTCCTTGGATGTTGAATCTAGTGTCTGGGTAGATGCAGGCTGGGAGAGGCATTACATCTGGTATTTTGTTCCCAAGTTGGGTTTGTATGTCATACAGTTCTTCCTCATTCCAATTTCAATAAGATATAATAATAGCACATAAAAGCATTAACAAAAATGCAAACACTATCACAACATTGATGAATAATTATTAATACATTTTATAAGTGAAATCATCACTGGACTGTTATTTCTGTAACATCTTGGGTTTTTTAAGTAATAGTGCATCCTCAAGTGTATTTATATCATTAGCTGATATGAAGTGCATTTAAGGAGAGAAAAGGATGATTTTGAGGTCTTTGAGAAAAGTAGCACCTTTTCTTCTGTCTAAGGCTACATCTCTAGAAAGAGGAAAGAAATTGGGATATATGTAGCAAACTGCGAAAATCTCTCATGTGTAATGATAATAAATTCCTTATTGGTTTCCTATTTGTGATGAGTACATTTGTAAACACTGCAATTGCCGTTGCACTAGCAACAGACTTTTATGATATACAACCATGCCAATTATACAGGTACAGATACATTTTTTCTGAGTTTTTCTAATTGCTTATAGGGACTGCAAATTATGAACTGTCCCAATTGTCTAACATGGTTCTTTACTTCTATATATATGAGGTATGGTTTATTCAGAATACATAAGCACTATTCCATGGCTGCACACTCCTCCTCAAATTTATTCTAGGTTATACTTTGCATAATATGTTTGATAATTCATTTCTGCTTTCTGTGAATTTAGGAATATTTGAAGAGCTGGGCTGGATCATGCCAAACTTGTGAAAACTTTTGTTCCCACATCGGCTAACTAGTGGGATGTCCACAGTCAAGACATGAGCCCAGTAGCAGCCAACTCATGTTGACCAGCACCTGGCCTCTAACACCAGAGGAAATACACACTCATCATGATTAGTAGCCACTTCAAGCGATATCCTCCCAGAAACTGTCTAGCCTGCTTTTAAAGCTGTTCAAGCCGGTGGACATCATTAGAGCTTGTTGTGGCAAATTCCATAGTTTATATATCCTCTGTGTGAAGACATACTTCCTGTTATCTATCTTGAAACCTCACCAATCTGTGCCTGGGTCACCCTAGATTCTAATATGCGCGGATGCCTCTCTGTTCTCTACTATGATCCACGTCATATCATGCATTATTCTGTCCCCCACCTACCATTTCCTTTTTTAAGCTGAAAACCCCCAAATGATCTAGCTTATTCATTGGAGAAGTATCCAACATAAAAGAGCAGAGAGAGAATGCCAGCTAAAATCTCATGTTCAAAAAAAAGGACGCCTTAAAATAAAGAAGTGTAGCCCAACAGGCCTATATTTGGAGAGGATTGCAAAGCTGAAGCAGCATCACAGCGAAAAAGAATCTGCTCTGCAGACATATAATGCAAATACATGAGAAGAAAGAATGCTTTCCTTTGCTTTCACAATTATATGCTGTATTTTCCTTGCTCTCAAAACGAAACGAAATGAAACAACTCACCAAAAATGTCACACACCGATATGAAACTAGAGGGTCATGTTAGCATTTAATGAACCTATAAACAGTTGTTATTAGGGAATAGTGAGTTCAGTATAAATGTTTCATGTCAACCCCGCCCCCGCCCCCCGTCTCCTGCAACACATCTACAGCAAAGGTTTTTTTGAAGATCCCAGTGAAGTGTTATTACCAAGAGATAAAAGTCCACCTTTGCTTATTAAGAAAATGACAGTTAAAAAGAATTCATATCAATATGAATCTTTTACCAATCTTAGAATCATGGGGTTTAGTAGCTCTGCTTCTAAACAAACCATGCAGTAGTAGTGCTAGAAACACTTCCATGAAGGCAGAAAACATTAATGCCCGAACTTAATTTAACATGGCTAGTGAGATGGGTGATAATGATAGGCTGGTATTATTGTATTATTAATGATTAACTTAATACAAAATTCTAGGCAATGAAGAATAATAGAAAATAATGCTGAGCCTGTTGTCCCAATCAAATAACTGGTTTAAAATAAGAATGTGGTTATCATGGAAGCTTAGCTTATATCCAAATGTTTCCTCTGCACTGGGCCTCTATGTTTGAATCTTCTTGACACCTCTGGGATGTCAGTCTGTCCTGCCCAAAACATGTATGTCCAGTATAGAGTAGGTGAAGTTAACAAACCAATGTAGGTCTTGAAAGAGGAAAAATTAAAACTGCTTGATCTTGGAGGTGACCTGCAACTGCCTGCATTGAGCCTTATCTTGCTAACCAAATAGTAAGCACATAGGGTTTAAGGTGGGGCCTACTTGTACAGCCCTTTAGGTTCCACCTAGATGCCAGGACATAACATGTGCCTGCATGTCATGGTCTCAGCATGCCCTGTTCCCTCTGGCAATAGCCACAGAAGGTGTTTCTGCTGTGGATTATTTTATGACCACGGGGACAAATATTAGTTCAAACAAGTAGATTTTGGACCTTTTGCAATTTTTAAAGCCAGTTCCTCTGCCCACAAAACTCCAGCAGAAATGGTGAAGCATCTTTCTTAGTTGTGATGGTACTAATGAGAAAATTGTTTGTGTCTTTATGTATCTTCATGTTAATGATATTTTTCATTGAGATAAGTTCATTTTGTAGCATTGTTGTGCAATATTTATGTTAGTAATCTTTTCCGTTGTTTTACTACTAAATAAAACCTGTATAGCAGTTGTTTGATCACAACCCAGTGTATAAATCCACAAATACCTTAAAAGGGATCCTTGCACATAATATTACTGGAAAATGGTGATTCACTTTATGAATAATTTTATTAGGTTTTTTTCAAGCAAAGTAGTAAAGGTGTGTGGGGATCTCATGACGTTGATGCACAAAAATTATTCAGACAAATCAGTGGAAGAATATGAATATGAGCAATGATCTTTTTCTAGAAACAAAACCATTTGTAGATGTCAAAATTAGGTGTAAAGAACTCACAGGAAGTGTGAGTTCATTGCAGGATGGGGTGCTGGTGCATCATTTGGTAGAGCTTATTCTTTAGCATTATCTTTCTTTAAAACTATTTGTGACTTTATAAGAGGATGAATTACTTGTTTCATTGTATTTCACTTGAGCTTCAAAATGGGGCTTAATAACTTCTTTGAGATGCTGATTCACAGCTTCATTTGTCAAAGGAAGCATTACAGACACATCCGTTTGAGAAAAGTGGGGAATAGAAGAAAAGAGAGTGTGCAGACTGTGGAGGAGTGGCAGAAGCAAGTCTTGTTCAGACTCTTTGCATATCTAGGCATGCTGAACTTCTATATTTAATTCAGGGGATGGGCTGTAGCTCAGCACTAGAGTGCCTGGTTTGCATCCAGAAGGCCCTGTGTTGAGTCACTGACATAAGCAAGTGGGACTGAGAAAGAATCTTGTCTAAAGCCCTGGTTAGCTGCTGCCATTCTGTATTGACAGTACTGGGCTAGATGGACCCAGTTTAAGGCAACTTCCTGTGTATTTCTCAACGGGCTTGGGGGGAGGGGTCAGTATATTTTCTTCCAGTTTTGCAGAATCATAGATTCATTAAATAGGTTTGCTGTAGATAGACTCTGTCACCATGCTTTCAATTTGTGCTCCTTTCATAAGATTTCCAACTTGTTTACTTCAATATTTTCCAGATATGCTGCATGTTCATGAGCATCCTTAGCTGTGCTGTCTCTGACAGACAAGCTCTCAAACTAAAATGTAAGGGTCTGATGCCTTGGGCAGTCTTCTCTGCAAAACTTCACAGTCTTCTCAGTTAATTGTATGTATTTGTGTTTATGTACACGGATTCGGTCTGTGCAGTGTTAGTTAAAAGAAGCTGGATGGACTTAAACGCTTGCAACATCTTTTTGACCAAGCATAACTGACAGCGACAGAACCTCTCAATCCATAGAGGAAACACAGAGCATTTTCAGTTAGAGAATACAATGGTTTGGGATGGCCCCTGGAGCATGACACATTTCTTTCCATCTGCTCATTGCCGACATGCCACAGCTCATTCCTCCAAAGTGAACCTCCCTCGGCAGGTTAGTTCATGAGGATACAATCATCTACTTTAGCATCAAGTTTATTGCCTTCAGCAAAGTAATGCTGACATGTGGTGTTGGTGAAAATGCCAAACTGAAGTACACTGTCAAAGAAGGGTGCAGAATTTCCTGCTGTTTTTGGCCTCATTTCTTTTTAATTCAGAGTGAGCCTTTTAAAGGATGCTATCATGCCCCTGTTTTATGTGCCTTTGGGTGTTCTTTCTGTAGCTTTTTTATTACTAAATGTTTGAATTACTTGAAGCCTGAAAACCAGCTGCTAGTAGAAACCACTAGATGCCACTCTTTCCAACATGTTCACAAATCTTCACACAACTTGCTTAATGAACTGAAATGAGTCACATGCACAGCCCACCGTGTTTGAATAGAACTGTAGCACCACAGTACTGCAAAAATGACCTCAGTAGATGTTTATCGTTTTTGGATCATTTTCAGTAGTTTTCTGCCAAGCTAAAATACGATACAAGTAGGACTAATGTCTAGGGGTATGATACTCAAAGCCTCCACTTGCTTAACCCTTAAAAGGCTTTAAAAAAGAACATTATTTAAATAGGATGGTTTTGCAGTTTAAGTTTGTTCATTGTTTCTGAAAGAGCAACTTGTTATTCCATTCCTCAGGGGGAAAAAGTGAGTGAATTGAAACAGCAAGCCAGTAGCACATCTGCTGACCATTTGTTGCTCATTGGTTCATGGTTCCTTCTACATCAGCCTGTGTCAAGTCTATGGCTAGCAAGTGCAACACTGCAAAGCAAGCTGTCGATCTGAGATTTCATGGATATCACAGATTGCCATTATCCAACCTCTGTTATCTGATGTCTCAATCCAGTATGTGATCCCCATGTAGTTCTATATTAACAAAGCTCTTCATAAATTTGCACTTTTTACCATTCTAGCATTTCACCGGGTGTTCATGGAACTACATGTAGATTTGTTTTAAGTACACCTAACTCTGTGTTGGAACTATGGTACGTTTGTAGAACTTTGGCAATTCAGTACCACTAACAGAATAAAAATAAACACCAAGGACATACCTGTCATGTGGACATGAATATTAAAGGAATACAAAGCCTGAACAGATTAAAATGTGGCTTATGAATATAATAAACTGTTTACTTCACTTTATTCAAAACAATGATTTTTCAAGAGGGTCACGTATTGTGCAATTGAAAATGAATTTGGTATCCTTGCTAATATACATGCTAAGCCATGAAAAAAATGTTCCTGCATGTATGCTAGCTTTCTGCATTCTGCAGAATATGTGCCCTGTGAAAGCTGGACTATGACGCTGATCTGCCCTAATCAGCAAAGAATGAAGGAGGAGTGATGGCAGTTGCAATCCTGCAACAAGTTGGACTACAAATTGCCACTGCTGGTCTTTATTTGGTTTCTGAGATAAATACAGTCCTTTTTTCAGGTATATGATCTAAGAATGTAGCAGACACAACTTGGAAAGCATATTGAAACTGCACCTCTGCGTAGTTTAGAGTTATGTACATATTTCATATATAAATGCAGTTGACCAGTTTCTAGGATGCATAATGAATTTAAGGTGGAGAATCAACACATGTTTTTAACATATATAGTACAGTTGTTCCAAAACTCTTATTTTTGGAATGCAGGTGAAGAATGCTTGTTTGAATGTTCTCCCATTTGAAACAAAAAACAACAACAAAAGTAATATCACACCTCGTATGTGAACATCTCTCATATTTTAGGTAGAAGGATTCTAGTCTTCCATGTTTAAGAACATTGTGATGCAGAAGATAACTTAATGCAGGCTCACCTTCACTATGCAACTTCACAAGTGGCACAGGTTTGCATGCAATGTCAACCTCAAATATGGGTTGAGTATGGGCTTTTGTTAAATTGTGGGTTATTGTGATGTGTGAGCTTTTCAATAAAATTTAACTATGCTTTAACAATCCAGAAAGAGAACCTATGGTTTGTTCTTGGTCATTTTAGGGTTATAAGAATATATTTAGGGAAAGCAGTTCTTAGGCTGAACAAATCATAAGAATGATTTTGATTTCATAGCTGCTATGGTTTGCCACTACCAGCTTTTGTGTTCCTAATTTCTCTTCCCTCTTTGAAATCACTGTGAGAGGCAGAGAACATTAGCAGAGATGCATGCTCTAGATAGTGTCTTCATAACTCCAGCCAGTGCTTATACCAGCTGCGGAAAGTTCTGAGGCAAACTGGAGTGCAAATGTTTTAGTTGTTCTTCTTTGTCTCCTCCGTACATCTCATGTCCCTCCTTGGTTGGGTATCCAACATGATAGGTCCTCAGCACAATTTCACTTTCTGTCTTCCCAGACAGGAGAAAAAGAATGACTGTCAAAATCTCAGAGGGGTGGGAATGCATGACAGTAGAAGCAGCAGCAGAACCCACTCACAATTCCCGGCATAGGAGTTATACTGCAAAGATGGCTGGAGTACTTGCGGTTGACTAATGGCTACTATGTTCTGTGTAGCTTAAAAGGCTTGCTTCCAACTATGTAAACATCAGTTGGCCTAGATAAAGGTATTGTCTCATTTTCTCTTTTATTGCATGTTCAATATTTATATTTCTGGTACTAAGAAATATTCAGGCCAAACTGAAAATAATTGTGGGAATAGCCTTCCCAATTCTCACTCTTTGAAAAGAAGTTTAAATTTGGCAAGCTAAAGGAGAACATAAGTGTAATGGAGAATAAGCACACACACATACACACATGCAGAGACAGACAGAGATATTTCTTTTCAAAGTTCTCTTAAGAATAAAAGCAAAAATGCCTCTGAACAGACTCTGATTAAGTGAGGGAAAATGAACTTTCACTAAAGCCGTGAAATGTATTTGTAGTTTGCCAAGTGTGTGCTTGTAAAATGATGAGTTCCTTCCTTGTAATGGCTCACATATATTACAAGTAACACATGAAGTATTTCATTATCACATAGCCTATAGCTGCCCCCATCAATTTTAAACAGGGAAAAGGGCTGTATTCTATTTGCCGATTTAAAGGTTTGATCTTGTTTGCATTTAAGGTGACAAACAAATGGTAAGACAAGTATCCTGTTTGCCATGAAGAGCCCCTGCTTAAATGCATAATCTCCAAAAAGCTGTTATTCATTACTCTGTCTTTTTCTATATTCTAAACAGTATTTGCACATATAACCAGCCTTGAACACAACAAATCAAGAAGGAATTGTCACCAGGCAGATGGCCAACATACTGAAAAGATGGAATACACTTATTTTCCTTTTACAGGAATCTTGGCCTAATGGCGAGCTAACACAAGCACCTGAGAACAAAATTCTGAACTGGATAGACCTTTAGTTTAATCCTGCATGGCTCTTTTTAGGTCCTTAAACCATTTTTATGTCACACCAGGATACACAGTTCTTTTCAGGGTACTGTTTTGAAAGATACTGAGATTAAATGTCTTAATATGTTAGTCTGGGCTCTTCAGACAATGGCATTGAAGACAATGGCATGCTCTTCTTCCTTCCACCACATAACTAATAGATCATATGAGCAAGTGTCTCCATAAAAATATCTCATTAATACAAACTTTTTTTGTCAAAAGTACTTGAATGCAGTTACTCTACCATTCCTCAAGTTAAAGTTACAAATTATTGAGGCTGAGTTTTGTTTGCAAATGCACCTTCATGGCTTTGCTATATCTGTGTAACTTCTTGTTTGTGTCTCAGTGGCTGCATGCACATGGAAGAGAATGCTTTGGGCAAGCTGTGTACACTCCTATCACTCCCACTTGGCTTCTTCTAACACTATGACCAGCTAAGCCAGAGAAAAATGGATAATTTAGTAAAGGGGAAGGCAGCACGTAGCCTCAGATATTTGGATTACAAATCCCATCAGCCCTGGCCAGAATACTTGATAGCAAGGGAATACAGGAGTTTCAGGTCAACATAACTGGAGGAATGGAGACTGGAAAGGACTCAGGAAAAGCCAATCCATTGTGAGATCCATGGTTCAGATTCATAGAAATTGAACCTCATTTGAATCTATTGTAGATTTCTCTGACATCCCTACTCCCAAGTAAGTATTTAAATAACTGCAGTTATAAACCTTTGCATATTACCTTGGAGTAAGTCATCCTCCACAGCCCCCAATCCTTGGAATGAACTGAAGACAAATTTGTAGATACATTATTAAAAACTATGTTCAGATTTTACTTAAAGCCTGTTGCTTTGCTTAATTTTTAAATAAATGTAAGAAACTGGGGCAAAGTAGGGATGGGAAGAAAAAAAAGAAACTTCTAGCTGACCTTTCTCATTTTAATGAAAGGCAGATTTTTTACTCTGCAGTCTTCATTCAGTGGACCTGGAAATTAATGTAACCTTTAAAAGTTTTGTTTAAAAGTGCATTTAAAATTATCAAGATTGTTGTTAAAATTGCTGTGTTCAAGTCTGATGCTCATAAGATTTGTAGTGCTTAATGTTTTCAAGCTGCCCAGAAATTCTTGATCGTGGGAATCACATTTAATAATAAAAAGTCCGTTATCAACCCTTCCCATGCTATGGTTATACAGAGAAGGCAGACTACCAGAACAATCCTGAATATGTTGACTCCAAGGTAAGTAAGTCCTATTGAGTTGGCTGGGACTTACTATCTAGCAAATATATTTAGGATTCTGTACTTCATTTAGGGTTATGGACATTCTTTTAATTTTTGTAAGACAAAAAAAATTATAGTGGAGATTTCAAATGCTTTGGTTTAAATATATAGATTAAAAATAGAAAGCCTACCTTGTCCCCACAGGCTATGATTCCCCTTTGCTGTTACAAATTCACAAGAATTTTAGCATATGTACTTTCCTGGACTATCAACAAATGATTACAGTCTCCTTAATTTGGAGAATGAGTGACAGGAGGGAAACAAGACATTTTGGTTTCAACTCCAAATATTTACTAGGAAATGAGTCCCACTGGACATGTATAGGATTTCTCTACATGAGTGGTTAAACCAATCTAATTATGTGGTGTAGATCTGCTCCTTATGATGTTCTGCTGGCAAGTGTGATGTAGTAGTAAATTCAAAGCATAGATGCTCATCACGAGAGCTGCACTTATATGGTGAGCCCCCAAATTCTGGCTAATGACCTGACCCATATCAATAAATTAGTTGTAGTAGTTCTTATCTTCACTGGGGACAAATATTTTATAAAATAATTTAGTATTCATTGACTATTGAAGACCAGGTCACTCCCAAATACTTGGTTAAAAGATGGATATCCCACAATTATATAATATTGCTGAGAAAATTCATGCCCCTGGAAGCAACAGGCAAGTCTGAGGGATGTGGCAGATGACATCAGCATCCCTGCTTTTCGAAAGGTCCAGGTGCTCACTCCTGTGAGCTCCATTGAACCATAGCTTCCTTGCAGTATGAACCCAATACTAACTTTGTGTTCTGCAATTTGTTCTCCATGTATTCTTAGTTTTGTCCCCCAGAGGATTCTTCTGTTTTTGCTCACATTCAGTTATGATGTTAATGTAACATCATGTTTTGGGATGGTACAATAGCAAAGCTGATAGCAAAACATATCCTTAGTGTGTATATATGTTTGCTCGTGAAACACTTTTGAGATATTTAGCTTACCTTGTGCCTACAGGCTGTGGGCAAGTCATGAAATGGAATACAGGACACATCATAACAAGCACTTGATAACAGGTGGCAGAAATGAGGCCCCGTTTCGGTCCTTTCTGAACATGTGTTTCTTAGATGTTCTGCTCCTTCAGTAATTTGCCTATTCAGCAGGGATTTGTTTCATACAGCAGTCCAGAATTAGGAGGAACATGTTTTGTACTCTTCTGGAGGACTATAGCATGCATTTAAGGGTACCACATAAATGTTTGGTCATAATAATAGTATTAAAGCAGTAACCCATATGGTTTTGATTTTTGGCCCTCAGTTGCTAGATAATATTTTGCCAACAACAACCACAGAAGAACTTTTATGGAATTTGCTGAGTCATCATTTAGAAGAGAGACCATTGCAATTTTGGCACTGGCACCTGGAGAGCTCATTGAAGATTATGAATTTGTTCTCTCTAAAACATCATAGGTATTATTATAGCAATTTCCATAACAACTTTAGGCCACCCTCTATAGCATGGTCCTTCCAGCTCCTATTTCCTTCATACAAACCAGACTTTTTCTACCTGTTGAGTTCTTGCATGTGTAAAGATGGTAACATTTGCTAAATTTATAGATGCTTCAGTGTCAAACAGCACAGAAGTATTCTGGATGCTGAGAAATGTTGGATTGAACATTATTCTTGTTTCGTTTTGACCTCTGCAACATTCTGCATGGGTGTTGATTTGTTAATTGAAGAAAAAATTCATGCCCCTACATTTTTAAACTTTAAAGACCTCTGGGTAGCAACATTTTTAAAAAGGTAAGACTTAATATTTTTGCTTGCCATGTTTACTTAGAAGGAAGCATGAATGTCATGTCTACTCAGTTGTAAGTTGGACAAGTCTCTGCACTACTAGGTTAAGAAGAAAGTAGAAATTTCTTCCCCAGGCTCTATGCAGTGTGCCACAAAAGAAAAAAGCCATTGTGTTTGATTAGCTGTACAATGGAGAAAAGAAAGTTTTCCTCTGCGACAGGGGCAGAGGGATCAGGGGAGGAAGCTGCTGAATCAGATGGGGAAATGAAACTCTGTAGCCTTAATAAGGTCCCCAGGTTAGAAGCTCCCCATCTCTGCGCTACACACTTATCTGGGAATAAGACCCATAGAACTCGGTGAAACTTATTTCAGGATAGGCATGTATAATGTTACCCAGACAATTCTCACACTTCAAAAGCTGGGAGTACTTGTAATATGATAATTCATTTCAGTATAGTTATATTGCACTCTTCTATGTAACATGTAAAGCATATTTAAAATACTATGCTGTTAATCTTGCTTCTAAGGAAGTGACATCTGACTCTGAGTAAGGCAGCTTTGTGTTTGAGTGGCTCATCTCAGTGGCATAGGGCACATTTAGACTGGCTCCATATTCTATTTGGACCCGATGAAAATGGTGTGCCTCTATGTGGAGATGAGGTGGAGGGTTTGGACCTATGGAAACTTTGGGGGATTTGAGGAGCTGTTGTAGGCACTACTGCAAAATGGCTCCCACTTTTGTTTAGTGGCTGCAGTGAAGGTTTGGGTCAGATCAGCTCCCCACTGGTGACTTGACAGGACAGGCAGCCTGGCATCAAACCTGCAGATGCTGACACTGATTAGAACCACTGCAATCACAGAAACCAGCTGGAAGCCACAGCAGGCGCTGCAACAGGCTACTCAGCCCTGCCCAGCCTCACCACAGCAAGATGAACCTGAGTGTCCCTGCCCCTGCCCCTCCCTCGGGTTCTCTCACTTCTTCGCCAGGTGCCTGAACCTTGTCTGTTCCTGACCTTGCTTTTGCTTCCGGTTCTGCAATGTCGTCTTGATACCCAACCCTTGCTTTTACCTCTATCTGCCTTTGCTTTTGGCCCTACTGTGTTTTGTCTTGGTGCTCCTGCTTGGTGCAC